TGAAGACTGTAAGCTAGAGATCTACCAGGAGGACAACACAGACGAAATCATTGTATCTGGGAAATATGTTGAAGGCGAGTGACGTCCTGTGGTAGTGAATATGATACAAAAAGATAAACAAAGTACTCATCATAGATGTAGATGTAGTGACAGGAAAACACTAACAAACATATTTTCTTTGTATTATTTGCAGATGACGTTGCAGGCATGGCTGAGAAGTTCAACAATGACAACATCAAAGACATGGTACAGTACCACGTATATTTTGCTATAGAAATTATATTTATCATGTCCTGATTGTGCACTAGTATAGTAGTGGTGTGGCATTGTGAATTATTCAGATCATTCTGGAACTGCAGCGTCATGTATAAGCTGGTATTCAATGTCACATATCCAGCTAACATCACACCATGCAATATAAAGGGACATATCCACACGACTCAGCCACCACAGATTTTCTGGTTGCCTAATAATCAAACTAGACAGGGGAATATACTGGGGAGAAGCAAAAAACTGACTGAGTGTGAAGACTTAAATCCTCAAGCTGCCAGATTGTCAGTTTGAGTGACAAACAAAAAGCCCACAAACAGACCATTTGTCAGCTGCAAAGCATTTTCTCTACTACCCTGGGAGCAATCTTGGGTTATGGGTGTGCCTGTCACACCCCTCTGCCTCTTTGCATTCCACATGCACTACGTTTCAGTTTTTACTACACTTTAGACAGAATAAACCTTTGGTAATTTAGCAGTGTTTCAGCCAGTCTATAATGCCGTCCGCTCACCGGCATCTTTTTGTTTTGACACTTCTTTGAAGTAAGAGGAAATACTGCCAACTCTCTAGATACATCTTCGTAAACAAAGGCATTGGGTGGGGTTGTTTCCTTTCTAGCTTTAAGACACGATAGATAACATTAACCGGATAATAAAAAGATTTCCTCCTGCTGGTATAACAATGTACACCGTAACACCTTTTTGTGTACGTCATGTGTTCATGCGTGTCGGATACAGTTTGTACCTAGATAGGTTTATAGGACTTGTTTGTAGACACAAACACATGACTCGTGTTTTTCGTTCTTGTTTTTGTCCTCAGACGGATGTGGAGGAGGCTAGTCCTCGTTGGGGGAAGAGCTCTAAGCTGGTTCTGGTTTCCTTGCTGCTGGCTGGCCTGTTGCTGGCTGCTCTGCTGGTAGCCGGTTACTACCTCAAGACCCATCGCAAGAACTCTAAAGGAGTCAGACTGGTGAGTGGATTAATGGAGGTGTCACTGTTAATGCCTTCTGAACCAAAAATCTGTAGTTGTTTATACTTCGGGAATCATTAAAATTGTCCAAGACATCATTGTTCATCATGTGGTTTAAGTTATTATACCAACCCGACTACCTTTAAAATAAATCCCACGTAGACATGTTCTTTCTATCCTGTATTACCTTTGGTGCTTAAACTGTGTGGAGAATAACATCATGTGTGGCAATGACGCAATTACCTTTACTGACCTAAGCTTAAATAATTTGGCCCCACAAGATCCAGTTCACTTAGGAAATTGAACAGCGTGACTGTGTACATATGGATTTTAGGTCAAACATATGGTTATCCTCCGGTCAATTCCTCACTCAAGGGAGGACATGCTTGACTCACATGTCACGTTAACTCAAAGCAACATTGGTGCTTTATGCTTTTTTCTACTCCAAATCCAATTGCAGGGGGCAACAGATGGTTTTAGTTTTTACTAAAGCTCATGAAATCACTTCTCAAAGCGTTTACATATGGGGGCACACCCATATGACTGTTAGGATGAAAGAGATTGCTGAATTGCCTATGCTTGTTGTCTTATTTAATATTATTGAATAAGTGTCTGGCAAGGGAATGAACTGTTATCCCCAATTTTCTTGCAGAAAGACAAAGCATATCCCCAAACTTTAAAAAGTCCTTAACCAAAGGTTCAAGGGTTTGTTTCAGCTAGAACCAAAATGAAACAACAAACATGCATGCACATTGTTAACCACCCAGTAGTAAAACAAATTACCAAAATGCTTCTGAGTGCTCACAGATGAAACCATTAAACCTCATTAACAAAGAATGCATTTGTTAAACGCCCAAAACAACTAATTTTCAACAACACCCTTTCTTGCTTTTTTTGGCATGTCTAAGTTGACAGTAAAACTAAACTTGTTGGTTTTAATGTGCATCTTTAACGTGAGCTCTGATGGTCGTGTTTCTCTTTTCCTAGGCTGATACCTTCCAAGTGGATGAGGAGAACCAGGCTAACACCCTGGTGTCAGTGGCCCCTCTACCCCAGGAGCCCGTCGACAAGCCCACCACCAATGGGGAGTCTCCACCAGAAAATGGGACCAACCCCGGACCCACCACTAACGGACACTCTGCCACCCAGAGCCCGGTAGCTGACACAGAGATGTGAATCTCGACACCCATGACATCCTGTTCTACCCATCACCCTCCAGGACACACTACCCACAAGCCCCTCTGCTGCCTCAGAGACTGTCAACACTGACACAAATTCAACAAGAATCCACCAATTACATTCACCTCCCCTCTTCCACACTGCAAATCTCAAGACAATGATGAAGCTCATGACTATGATGACGATATTGACAATGCCTGTAATGTGAAAAGTTAGGGATCACTGGCCTTTGCTGGTGTCAAGAGGAGCCTACATACGCTGTGTTTGGGACTGAGGCTGCTCAGCAGGGAGCTGACTGGGATTTGTTAACTGCCCTGACTTCCATCTAGTTGTACAATCATTGTAGAAAACCCAAATAATGCCAAATATGTGCTGTTGATTCCCAACAAAGAAGGAGCCAATGCTCTATTGTGTTAATGCACAAATGTGGTGCAAGGAAACCAATGAAGCCAGGCAGTTGAAAGAAGACCAGCTTTTGTACAGTTTTTTAAAAAGGACTGATGCTCACTGCTGGATTTTTTTTTTTCAGGAAATGATGTTTTCTTTTCCTTTCTATTTGCCTCGACCTTGTTAAGACCTTTAAAAGTGTGATATGGGCAAAAAGGGAAAGAAAAAAACATACCATTTCTATTTACTGAATATTTTCTATATTTTCTCACAGATTGTCAAACTGAAAAGTGTTACAAATACAACTGCCATTTTCGTAAAAGGAATTTCTTGTTACCGTTCTTAACCATTCTTTAAGTATTAGCAATGTACAAAATAGATAAATGACACGGCAAGCATATTCTTTGGTTTTAGTGATGATTAAGTAATGCTACAAAGTTATTCATAACATGGAAATGTCAGCAGAAAGCTATTAGTATTTGCCTCAATTCTTTAGACTGATAAGCATAATTAACAACATGACGTTTAATTGGTCCAAATTTAATTGGGAAAGGTCGGAAAGTACATTTCTATTTTTGTGATATTGTGGTGATTTCATGATGACATTAGTGTACAGTTTTAGTTGTTCTATAACACATCGAAAGTTTACTCTCACTATTGTCTTTCTGAATAAGAAGGAGCAGCAGCATTTTGAAATTCAGAGAAAAAGGGAAAAACACAGAAAAACTAAATTTTAAAGAGTTTTAAAGTTGAGAAACTGATATATGAACATAAAGCAGGTTCAGCATTCCCGAGTTAGACTTTATCTCCTTGTTGATATTAAACCTGTTTTACATCTGTGGTACACATTTAGCTTCTCTATGGAACAACTGGCTGCGTTCGTAATGTACTGCATGTGTAAATAAGCCTGCTTTCTATGTTAGTATTACCTGTGCCTGACTCATAAACTGTGATTGTTGACAATATCTTTGTGGGGTCGTCTTAAGTTTGATTCTGTGGAGCTTACTTGATTTTTGAACCGAAAGATTTAAATACATACATCAAAATTCCTCTACCCTTTTTTTCACATTATGAAATGTTTAGCTGTACTCAGGAATGTACAGCATGTACATTTGTTCTGTATACAAGATATGTGGTTTCCAATGGTTTTTAACCCAGCTACTTGGCATCTGTTGTCTACCATCTAAACATAGAGTATAGAAGAACTACATACTCATTATCCTTAACGACCAGTCAAACAGAATAAGTCCCTGGCTAATTTAATCTATTTACTATTCTAAAAACAATAGACAAACATCCCATCATGCAAAGCAGTAGGCTCCTGGTTGATTTGATAACTAAATGATTTATTAGGAGCCAACACATTTTTATTTAATCTCGAAAGGAAATGACAAATGAAATGGGATTGGATTAAAATAGACATTTGAACTTGTCATTCCTAAAATGTAAATGATATGAAGCACAGATCAAAGACTATTATAGAAACACTGGAACAAGAAACCTTTCTTTTCTCCCACGAACCAAAGGTTTAATTAGGCATGGTTTTACAGTCATAGTTTCCATTGATATGAAAATAAGTCATTTGACTAATGCAGAGAAGTGAATAGCCCGAAGAACTGATGAGTGTAGTTTGAATGTTTATTATGAAAAAACAAACATGGTATTCAAAACATACCATTAGTCAAATATGTGTCAGTCTAAAGAGCTCAATGTTCATACAACACTCTTTAAGGATTGGCAAATGGTAGTTATATTGTATAACGCATATATGGGTTTGCGCTTATATAATGCTACAAAGTCAGTGACAAAGGAAGCTTTTAATAATACAAATATCAATATCAGAAACATTTAATAAGCTCAGTATTAATCTATTTATTATGGAGCAACGTTTTGTCTAGTAGAGTGGCATAAAATATGTAACCTAACATGTAATGTTGTCTTTATTCCATTATCTAGCCTTAATGGGTATGACAGCTGTTTTGGAATGACATGATTGTTCGCAAACAAATTCAAGGCAATCAAGACTTTCCATTAAGCCTATTGTATTAATTTGAATGCCCTTAATTTGTATCAGTACCTGTATCACCTGGGTATTTTCATAACAGCCTAGAATGCACTGTGATTGGGTGCTTGTTGCTCCTTCCAGTGTACTTAAGACCCTTGACAAGAGATAACTCCACAGACTGGAACATCAACTCAATATGGAGCAAAGTGCACTCAGGCTTTTCATCCTTGCAAGTCTTTTTAAGTTGGACCTCTGTGGGTGGAAGTATGTCGATGTAAGGATGACATGGTCAGAGGCCACACAATACTGCAAAAATCATTACATCGATCCGCCTTCAATCTGCAACCTGGTGCAACATGATCAACTTATGGCGAAACATCAAACTTACATGCGTAAAAATGCGTGGATCGTATCCTACCAAGATGTGAACGGAACGTGTACAAAATCGGAACATCCGTATGCAGTTAGAACCAGTTGTGTGGTACTAACTGAAAAAGATTGGCTCAAAATGAATTGGCACCAGAAATACCCTTTCTACTGCTATAATGAACAACCGGTCTTGGTGAAAGAAAGCAAGACGTGGGAGGAGGCGATGGAGCACTGTCGCTACCAATACACCGACCTGGTGAGCCTCAACACAGGAGATGATCTGGTTCAAATCCTGCAGACCAGCGCGGAAGCTCAGACAAACCACATGTGGACCGGAATGCGCTACCTGGCGGGCAGCTGGCTGTGGGTGAACGGGGACAACATGACAAGCCAGACATGGGGCAAAGAGGGGCCACCCCAGTGCCCCGCCTGGACTCACCACTGTGGGGCCCTCGCACGAGAGGAAAAGCACCTGGACAGCTGGGACTGTGCAGCCAAACTCAACTTTGTCTGCTTTTAAAAGGTTATAGAGGTATGTTGGTGCATTATAAGGATATCCTAGTATGTCCCACTCATTTAGAAAGATATAAAGGTAGTCTAATGTAAATGTCAGAAAAAGGCAGCATATTATTATTATATACCATACTTTTCTTATCCTTTATAAAATGGATTGCTCAAGTTGTCCTTCATATATATATATATCAGTGTCAGGGAAACTCATTAAGAGATGAAATTGTTGTGATTTGGAAATGTAAACATAATGATATCCATGTTTATTGGTAAACTATTTAACATAAATGATCAAATGGTTTAATTGTGACTCATTACCTGCCTATGGCATTTGTTATGTACATTTTTTTCCGAAGACATACTAATTTAATCAATGTCCTTATGATTGGTGCAAATAGATACTAAATATTCATGAAGGGCACCTAGTGTTTTCATGGATACAAATAGAAATAGTAAAACATCTGCTAATTGGTTCACTGACATGACAACTAATGTTACTTTGGTATACTATCACCAACTAAATATTATCGACATCATACAGTATGCCTTTTCAGCGTTGTCATGTAACAATTGAATATCCTTATATAAAACCTCTTTGTGTTCAATCTGTATCTTAACAACATGTTCTAATGCAAGAGTGTTTTGTGACTCCATTCCCGATGGCGGTGAAGCAGATTCAGTCACACAACAAAATGTCAAAAAGCCACACGTCCTTCTGGATGTTGATACTCTGGAGAGGGAATGTGTGTGTGTGAAAAGCCTGACTGTATGTGTAGGTGTGTGTGCACAGCTGATGTCGCGGCAGTAAATTAACCGCTGCTGTCATTCTAGCTGATGTGACCTTTTTCAACCCTTGTTGTTACACCCTGACAGCACATACATGTCTGCTGTTACGGTTCACTTACCGAGCCCATTGGGCTAGAGGCTTCTGCCCAGCTGAGTGGGTGCAAAGGTCAGCGCCGTGTTTGCTGATAGCCGCTCGGCAATGACTCTGAACATGGCTGTATCGCTCCATCGCTGAACTCCTGCAACAACAAATAATATCCAAACATATGAAAATGTCAGTGCTTAAAACATCAAATATCACATTTGCCACACAATCAAGGGCAATTTATTAGCACTATGTTTTACTATAGGCTACCTGCGCACATTTTTTCCCATTAATTTGGTGTGCATATCTTGCTTAATAAAATGTTAACATGTGGACATCATACCACTCTACTAAAACCCCAAACTTGTCACAACATAACTAAATATCAGGTACATATGTCATACAATCATAAAAATAAATGTAAAGCAATGCAATGCAATGTATAACCAGTTGTGGAAAAAGTTATTAAATCTTTAATTTGCAGTTAAAAATGTGCCATGGACATACAGACATACTTGAAGCAACATGTACTAAAATGAATAGTATACTCTTTATCCAGAATAACCCCTTTCATATTAATACGAGATCATACAGTATGCTATGCTACACATATTATTGGTTTAATATACCACAACAAATGAGCATTTAAGTCAAGTTGAGTTAACCACTTTATATGGAGAAGATAGTACACAACAACAGTGCACATTTCATAAATGTATCTTTAAAAATGAACCTCCTATAAAACAATGTTCAAATATAGTTGTTGGTTAAAAAGGAGGCTACAATATTCTCATTAAGTAAAAAGTATCTCAATTAGCCTACGAATACAAATTACTTTTCACTGCAGCACACATGAAAAATAAATAGTCACTACTCACTAACACTTTCACAGCAAAAACAACCTGGAGAGAATGAGATTTGGGTAGAGCTAAACTTAGTATTAATTGTGTTCCCAGTCAAGAACACCCCAAACTAAACACTGTATCTCCACCTACTGGGAGTCATTCGTAATTTCAACTCATGGTCGTTGTTGAAAACATATCTGATTAATACCAGAGAGGTCTGAATACTCGAAACTGAGCTCAAGTGGTGTTGTTTTCGGCCTGGGAAGTTTACAGTATGTGCTTGGTGTTTACCTGCTAAAACAGTGTTGCTATGCGACAAATGGAACAGCTTGTTCTCTAGTCAAATACTTTTAAGGTTGTATGCGTTTTAAGCCAAACCAAAGACCAAAAACTTGTACTAAACTAAAATAACACCAGTTTAATCATGTACTTACTTGAGAAGAAGTGTGTGTGTGTGTGTGTGTGTGTGTGTGTGTGTGTGTGTGTGTGTGTGTGTGTGTGTGTGTGTGTGTGGTGTGTGTGTGTGTGTGTGTGTGTGTGTGTGTGTGTGTGTGTGTGTGTGTGTGTGTGTGTACGACGGGCACACCTGTCATTAAAATTCTCTGTTCTGAGTGAACTGGGGGATCGGTTGATATCCCGCCAAAACGTGACTGACGTAACGTGCCAATTACCGTAAACCTTGGGAAACAGTGAGTACGTCACTGACCGTAAATTACACTGACATATGGGTTCTTATTATACATCCGTGGCACTGCGTACGACAAAGCAACAACTCGAGTTATGGCTTTGTCGTTGCTACAGGCTACAGCTCCGGAAAAATTAAGAAACCACTCAAAATGTTTCTTAAATCTCAATCTCTACATGTATGGCAGCCATTCCAGTGTCTGTTGAATTCCAACACTGAGAAATGTTGTCAGTAGGCTAGTTTATGGAATAAAAAAAGCATGTTAATTTTACTCGAAGACATAGCCAACATAAATAGTAAAACCAGAGAAACTGATAATGCTGCAGTGGTCTCTTCATTTTTTCCATAACTGCATGCTCTATATGCCATCATAGACTGTATATATAAATGGACGTAGGGTCCGTGACGTCACCCATAGGATTCTGCAGAGTTGCCGAGAAGCCCTTAGTAGGCGGAGTCGGACACTAACGGCTCGACAGTGACGTCAGAGTTCAACTCCCGCCTTCTCCAGCCTGATCCAAATAAGGGCAAAGAGGCGGAGCCGAGGCGGGACCTGCTGCCACCGAGCTGGAAGTTCCAGAGCTAGCTGAAGCTACCAAGCTAAGCTAACATGCTGATGTTCCCCATCTGCACACTGCCGTGGCATTTTACGTTTCTAAAGTAAGCGGACATGAAACTATTCAGCAAAACTATAAATAATAACCTAAGTTATTGAGTTTTTAGCATAATACTTCAGAATCTTAAAATCCCTTAACGTTTGTATGCAATTGTGCTAAATTCAATACTGGAATCAAGCAAATATGAATATGTTTGCATGACATTAGTTATTTATATTTTGATATCACTTAATTATACGTTTAATACATTTAAGTCAAGCTAAGGTACATGTGATGGTAGCTAGTTAGTGCTCTTACCAGACTGTATCATTAAAACTAAGTACCAGTTTGAGATCCTTGACTTTAGACAAACAATTCAAAAGACAAAATGTATTTAAAGACCAATCTTTATTTGAATGTGCCTCTTAACCTGAGATATTAGTTATACAGTAATAGTATTGACAATCTAAAAAAACTGAGCAACTCAACAGTCAACTTTATGTTTCTTATTGTCTAAAGCATTTATTGTTTTCATTTTTCCCCTCTCATATTCAGTGTGGACGGATTGAGACAGCGTGGTGTCCAGAGAGCTGCAGAGACTTCAGGGAGAAACCTCCGTGTGATGGACGTCCTGTCTGTTGGTTTGGAGAGGACTGAGGGTCTTTCCTCTGCGAGGAGGACCAGGGCTGATGAAGGAGCCCATGCTGGGCAAAGCTGATACCAACTGCACAGGCCTAGTCGGTCACTTTATTTGACTAAATGTGTTTACTTATACATTTAATAGGTTTACACCTTCTGTCCATATGTGCTTTTTATTTAAAACATGTTTGATTAAGTTTTGGTTCACATTTCAATTGTATTTGCACTCCTTTTGTCCATTATTCTTACTGAAAATGTTAGATTACACATTCACATCTGACTGAAGATTGGCCCCATTTATTTGTGACATTGCAAACTCTGCGGTACAAGGCACAAGTGATGTGAAGCTCATAAAGTGAGGCAAATAGAAATAATCAGCTGATGGAGTGTAGATGTGGAAATAGCTGCATTCGATCAGCTGACTGTTTTTACAATAAAAGTAGTTTCTTAGTGAATGTCCTGTAGCCTACTGGTCTTAAAATCTCATAACATCAGCTTTTAATGTTCCTCTTGGATGTTCTTCTTGACCCTCAGAGAAGGAGAAAATGTCGTGTCTTTCAGGCATGTCCTTTCCTAACAAACATGACAGGAAACATAAAACATATTATTGCAGAACAAGTGTGTTATTTATGAAAGCGGTGTGTTTGTGTGTTTAGAGGCTGTAGATATAATTATTTTGTAATTGTAATGTTTTTTTTTTTATTTCAACAATGAGCTACAAAGACAATTAGATTATGAATGAACAGTATGAAGTTCATCAACATTGAAATATATGTTATTATCAAAATAATATTTAACTGTTATCAAAACGTAGTGCAACTGTAGAAGCTTGCTCTGTTGTCTCACTGAAAGAATAACTTTTACCACGTTTTTTACAGACAATATTGAGAGATAAATAGTAGCAGTTCTCACTATGTGTTAAATATATTTGCCTTCAATACATTAAATGAGAAAGCTGACAAAGTCATATTGCTAAATATCTAAATGTAACCTTTTGCATGGAAAAAACCCTCAACTTAACTGATGTGTAGGTGATCTAGTATTTAGTATTGTTTAATGGAATACATATCAGTGTATTAAAGTCAATACTTCATTCATTTAAACCAATATATTTCTTGATTATTTGTACAGTATGAAAAAAAGAGTCTTTGTACCTGTGCTGAAGTTCACTGCTGTGAGGAGTCCAGTTCTGTCTCTCACTCTCTGGTCCAGCCTGTCTGCATCACCTGGACACCTTAAACAAACAGATATATATGTAAAGTACCATGTGTACAAACAATATAACTGATTCTCTTCTGTTGAACATGTTGGATTGTGTATTGTCCGAGTCAGGGTCCTTTTTATTTTACTGTAACTTTGGAAGTTGTGTTACCAATGCTTACTGTTTATTTGATACCCATTTGGTAATGCAATTAATAAAAACAACAAGGTTTGGGTTCGTTCTTCAGATGACTGTGACGTTAACATGTAAGCTCAATAATGAACTCCAGCTCAACCAACCATATTGTAATATCTAAGTAATCATCTTGAAATATGACATTAATAATTGTAATATACACACATCTTATTGTGAGGTTGATTTCACATACACTACTACGACGTTAGCTTGTCTACATACTTGAGCATAGCCAATTTAAATTAACCTTAGCGATGCATACAGTTCCTATACCTACATAATAAAATATCTCTAAGTTACAAGGATGACCTTATTTTATAACCTCAAACGGAAGCCGTTTGTTCTACAGTATTATCCCACTTAACACTTGTCTATTTCGTTTTAACCTTTATATAGGCCTACAGTCTATTATTTTAACTTGTAGGCTACGATTAGCATCGTTAGCACCGATGTAGCTACCACTCGCTTACACACTAAACCAAGCCTTAACATTCATTACGTAGCGGATTAAAATCATTAACACATAAATAAGTACTCGATTTTCACTTACCGCAAAACCGCATGCATGCACCGTCTGTTTTAACCGCAGAGCGAGTCACAATAGTCCGATATATAAGCATGAAGAACAAACAACCACGGCCGGCTACAAGTTGTGTTCCCTGGATGAGCTGAGCAGGCAGACCCTGTAGCTAGCTTCACGGAGCAGCTAGCAGAGAGACAAGAAGCTAACAGCGGCAGGCACTTGACAGAGCCGTCACTCAATGTGACCACACCCTAATTTATGCAAAAACTTTAAGACCTAATATAAATAAAAGGGTCGTGTTAGAAAACAATTCACTCACAGATCCATAATCATGAAGGTGGAACCTAACTATATTCATAACAATATGTATTGCATCCATGGGTAAAAACATGTTTTTTTCTGCTGTAAAGTTGGGCATTTTAACATGGGGGTCTATGGAAATGGCTCCTTTCTGCAGCCGGTCCCTATCGGCCAATAAATGAACTGCAGTGTGTGGCACTTCCGTATTGGCGTCCCGGCTCTTCCCCAGAGTTTGCCGCTTGTATGCCATGCAATAATCTATAAGGGATCAGAATCAGAAACGGGTTAATTGCCAGGTAGGTTCACACATACGAGGAATTTGACTTGATGTCATGGTGCACACATAAAATATAAAACAAAAAATCTTTAAGGACACTGTAATAAAATATGGTTAAATAGCAATAAAATAAAGCAGTAATTTACAGTGAAATATAGTGCAGTGAATTATAGAATATATAATATGAAATAAGATATGGTGTCAAAGAAAAATAGAGAAACTAAAATAGCACAATTCCCCCCGAAAACCTGTAGCCATTTATCTCTTCTCACAAGTTGCATTCAGTACAAGTAGACTAGCATAAATAGTATGATTATTGTAGAAGCCTAGTATGGGACACATTACTATATTTAGGCTAAATCATAAGTAGGCCTACAACATTATGTAGATAATAAACCACTTGTTTATGTCAATTCAGACAATTTCCCTACCAATTTAAGAAAATGGTCATGCAAAAGAGCAGTCAAAAAGCATAAAGCTAAACACACACTTATATTAAGCTTAAAGTTTAACACATCCACTTTTCCAATCCAACTGTTTGTGTTACACTGTAAGGTTACACTGCCATCTGCTGCAACAAAAACGAAACTACAATGTATACGTTTTTTATTTTTTGTCTTGTCACCTCACAAATTGATGCAGGTTCTACGGATTACAAAACACTTGTTATACAAGAAAAGTAATCACATTGCCATAATGAATATACAATACAAATATGGCTATGACAATGTATAATTAAGAAGACACCTAACAACCACCAGGGGATATAGTGAGATCAGAAGTAAGAATTGACAACAGTATTTTATATAATATACATAGCATACAATTAACTTGTTGGGCAATGACCTAGCCTATTTAAAATAAAGCAATTACTTCTGGCCTAATATGGGTTGTAAACAGTTCAGAAAGATGATTCTATCCGTGTTGGATGTTTCCTTTTTAATGAATTTAAAAAGGCATGATTAGAAGAAGAAGAAGAAGAAGAAGAAGAAGAAGAAGAAGAAGAAGAAGAAGACCTTTTTATTCCTCGGGTTGGAATAGGTTCCTATAGGTTGCTTTAGAATATCCTAATGTATTACACTATGTGACTGTCGACAGGCTGTGGCCCTTATACATAGAAATGTTTAGGCTACTCTTGTATACAAAAAAGAATAACAGACTCTCGGCACGACATGTGGAAGCTGCGTCAAATGGAGGTAGTTTACGGTAAAAACGGCGCCCTTTTACCATGTGATTTCACCGATGTTTGTAAACATGCGTCAACCACATGTGATTTTGACGATGAGGAAATAGTGTCCGGCCAACCAGCGGCCGGGGGTGTATCAGGGGCGGAGTTCCCGTGTTGCGCTATGGAAAATCGTACAAGAGATACACAGTGATAAACGTGCCCTCCGAGATTCATAATAGAGACAATAAGGCTGAAACGGGAACGTAGCAACCTGAGGACCGGGTCTGAGAGGAACCGGCCGGGAAATGGACCTGCCCGCCTAGGAACAGAAGGGGAACATGAATGGGATAAAACACGTAAGTCATTTATGTTATTATAGGACGAGAGGAACATAATGCTGCGTATGGTGCGTCGAGAATACCACTATGCTTTTCATAACCACTCAACAACTGGGTGAATAGGTAATAAAGCGAGCCTAGAGGAGCTGTCGTAAAAGTGTAAAGAATATTGAAAGAAATAATATAAAAGTCAAGTGTTTGCAGGGAAACAGGACGCGGGGAGTTGTTTATGAAAAAGCCTGATGATACTTTTTAAAATCAAAAGTGTGTTCATCATCGACATGACAACAGGTAAATTCAACTGCGTCAGTGAGAGGGACCGACACATGCAATCCAGAGGGAGCTTCCTCTGCGATGGTGGAACATGCTGCGACGGCGTGAAAGCGATGTTGTTTCTGGATCGAAACCTTGCTTCGGGGCTGATTTTAATGATAAAACAAAGGTGTAAACAAAGGGTAAAGTCGGTGGGGATGGCTTGTGAAGGGAGAGCTCGGAATAGGATGCTGCGCAAGAGATGGATAGTGCGTAGCAAGAGATGGATAGTGCGTAATCCTGGAAGGAGACGATGTTACGCAGTTCATATTGGCACGTACATTCAACACCTCATTTATAATATGTTATTAGAATGAACGTGTCCTCTTTCTCTTTATTTTTTTTAGAAAGCAGGATAAAGAGACTTTCCAAACATAGTCACATATGACACACGGAGGGTTGTGCTGTTGCTTGCGTAATTCCAGAGGAATTAGAGCAACACAATGGTGACGCAGCTTGCTTTATCTTTGAGATGTCAAACAACATTTGCTGCGTCACCGAGATCCCAGGAGGTCCTTTATAGTAATTCAGGCTTTTTATTGCGCACTTGATATGATGAAAACAAGCTCATTTCTCGAACATAGGGGGGGCTATTGAGTAACACAAACTTTAGGATGTATCTTCAGCTGTGAAGGGATGTTGACATACAGGTATTCGTCATCTATAACCTGAATACTTACCGTTTTATTTTATTTTTCTATCTAGGGTCTATTTTATGTCATTTTACACAGATGACGAATTATTATTACTACAATACATGACACAAAGCCTTGAGCTTTCTCTGTTTTGTGAGCTGTTGTTGCTGTGAGAGAACCATTTAGCGGATTTGTCTCCCTTTACTAGATCTTGTAATGCACACCCGCCAAAGCACAATAGGACACTGAAACGCCTGATGGGATGTTGCTGTTGACACCAAAGTAGCTGGCCTCTGGCTCTCGTACATTTCCAGTGACCCCAGTGAGGGGAAGGCCTCCTGCTGCTTACCTGCCAAAAGGGTGCGGGAGATAAAGTGATTCGTCACATCTTAGAGCGGTGAGGTGAACATGAGGCACACAGGAGGAGCAAACTCCCTCCTGCCAAGTGGATTTGTTTGGTCAGTGGGTGAATCAGCAGTCGCTTCTCGCGTTGCTAAACCACTGGCAAGTATATGGAAAGAGAGAGAAAGCCTGAGAGAGAAGGGGAGGGGAGCTTTATTAAGTGTAGTAAATAGAAACTTGACTCCTGAGGGAATGTCACTATGGTAGTTTTAAAACAACAGGTAAAGGTCATGGGAGGAAGTACAAGCTGATCTCTTAAAGAGTGTCAGGGGTGGCCTTACTGCAGCAACAACATCCCTTTTGCTTATTTGCATTATATGAAAACAAAAACTCCTGAATATTTTTTTACTGACTACTATCCTCTGCAGTTGTGATGTTATCATGCCTTTGGAGGCTGACCAGTAGAACAAGTGACCCACTTTCACAGAGAAGAAAACGTGACCTCAATAGTTATTTAGCCATTCTTTCAGGGAGGGGCGCTGCCTCTAAAGTCAAACAAACAGGAGTCCAGTACAAGTGGGCTAAATGTTATGCACTCTACTATTTTATTCAAAGTTCTTGGACACATTTCACAATAAAAACAAGCCCTGCTTTATCAGCTGAAGCTATTGCAATTCAGCAAATGTTGTTGAAGCCAAAACTAGATGCAGCAAAACAGCAAAAATATACTGACCCATATGTTTACAGCAGGGGGCCAGCATCACCTGTAGCCCACATACAACTTCAGAGGAAATGGTTAGCGACCTACTGCCTTTTAAAAACAAATCCCTCCTTCACACAGATTATAGAATAGGAGGTGGCGCAGAGCCAAGAGATGACGGAGCTACATTTAAACTCGGAGTGCTGCTCGATGACGATGTATTAATAGACAAGTGTGTGGCAACACTCATGCATGTATCGTTAGCAGCTCCCCACCTAACAAGCTGCAAAGGTTTGTACAAAACGTCTGTAGACTCCTGAAAGGTATTTCATTTCAAACCTTTATTTAATCAGATTGGTCCCATTGAGATCATCTCTTTTCCAAGGGAGACCTGCAGCATATAGGTTCCACAAGAAACATAAAACAATAAAGGACATCACACATTATATTTACAGGATACATTTACATAGTTATAGACATTTACAAGTGCCCATAGTATCAACGAGCATTTCATTTAGCCTAGCTTTAAAAACATGCAGAGGAATGAGATTGCTCAGTTTCAATTCTTGCTGAAGATTGTTCCAAGCAAGTGAAGCTGCGCACATAAAAGCTGTCTTACCTAAGACAGTCCTTGCTCTTGGCACATCTAACAATACTACATCATGCGATCTCAGACAATAGCTGCTTGCAACTCTCTGTGTTATCAGAGAGCAGATATAATACGGGAGTTTACCCACAAAGCTTTATAAATAAACGTGTACCAATGACTGAGCCTCCGTACAGTAAGTGATGGCAAACCTTGCAATTTACTACGTTCTGTAAATATTTCTAAAAAAGATCTACAGTACATAGGAGATTGGAATAGTGACAATATTATTGTAAACCTGCCTAACCAGACACCTTGATGCCACATTTAACATCTTTATGTACGCATTTATCTCTAGTTATTTACCTCATAAAGCTGCACGTGTTATCAGCCACACATCTAATATTTCCCAACAGGCCGAGTGGGAGCCAGAAGAGGGTGACAAAATGTAAATCAACCCTTCCATCTGTGGCCTTCCAGTCTATTTCCACCCATCGCACGGAAGATCGAACAAACAAAGCATCCGGCTCATCTGAACATGTTAAGGCTCCCTCGCCTTCGAACATTTCGCAATGTGTTGCTCCGAAGAGAAGATGATGCAACGTAGAAGGAGATATACGAGTTATTACAAGATCAAAACACAATTGGTACTTTTTGGACCTTGTGTTTGTAGGCAAAAAAGTATGTGCAACCTTTGGCTTTGATTGGTCCAGTCAATTACCGTTTTAAATATATATATATAGTATAGTACTCTTTCTTTGTGAAAATGTTGAGTGGCGTAATAAAAACACATTACCTCAGTGAGTTCCCCCCCCCCCACTCCTGATAAATTAGGACCTGTAATCTGTAAGAGGATTAACCACCTACCCTGTGAACACATGCAGCCTAACCGACGCACACACACACACAGTCACACGCAAACAGGCGTTTAGTGTTCTTTTTACGTCGCCTAATATGACCCGACCCAGACAGTTGGGCTGCCTGATTCGTTCGCAGTTATTATATTATTGTTGTAAACGAACTGAATGTTTTTTTTATCCTTCTAAATTAGATACATTAGCCAAATGTATTTGTGATTGTAGATTTTTTTTCATGGATTACCTTCCTTAACATTGGACAGTGCTCACAGTTTGATACAGAGGCTCTAAATTACACTAATTGTTGCTTTATCTATTTTTATTTATTTTTTAAAAGGGGGCAATGTGCCTTTAACAAGCAGTAGATAGTCAGGTGACTTGGCGGAAAAAATGCTACGATGCAGAAAGAAGTTTCTGCCCACTCAGTAGTCGGAGGAAAGCGCTTGCAGTTCAAGAGCAAGAAAGCTGTAGACACCTTCTCAAGTAGCAGTGTTGCACAGGGGGAGTCAGAAAAGCAAAAACAACGAGAGGACAGACAATGCTGTTATTTTGTAAGCTTGCACTGCATTCTTTTTTAATACTGAATAATCTTTATTTAGTGCACGTTGTTAAAACAATGATGAATCATACATGCCCAAATGTGATCATCAGTGTTGGATATATAACCAATCAGTACAGCTGCTGTTGTTTTGTAAGCCAAAACATTAAAGTAGCGGTGAAGAGGATTAGGTCGTGACAGACAGGGAAATTGTCCCCGAAAGACACATGAATGTTCTGGATTAGTTGCTACGTCACCTTTCCCCATCAATAGGACAACAGTGTCTGAGACGCTGACAAGGCAGATAACAGCAGTCCTGTAATACCAGACCTGCAAATAGAATCCAGTGAGTTTACCACATTAGTTGTCTGTGTGTTGTCATTTCAATAAAACAGGAACAGTAATAGTGACAGCGCGGTAGTCTTAAATGAGCTCTCTATAGACATTCTGCACTGCATGTCTCAGCAGAGACAACAGGGGTTCATGCTAATGATCCTTACCTATTTCTGGAGCTGCTTTTTTCTGCTTCTTGCACCACAGTCAACCCCGCTAGGACCAGGAGCAGGCCTGGAGGCGGAGCCAGGAGAGGACACTTTATCCTATTGTGCATTACAAAGAAGTCTACAGGGAGCTGCATGGATCTATTTTTCCACAGTATGATTCACAGACAGTTTTTGTTGGACTTCATCTCTGGTGCCAGTCTGCTGCCGCGTCCTTTCTTACTCTGAGATCTTGATCATCTGATGCACTTATACAAGGCACTGAGCTGCTGTGTCACTCTGCAGGATCTGACCATGACTCAGTGGTTATTCGGCCAGCAAAGCGTCTGCATTGACGTCTCGGTTTACGCCTGTCTCTCTCTTTGGAAAAGACTGTAATTGTTTTCAAAGGATAATATGATCAGCGCAAATAAGCGCCTATATAAATATACTTAAATGTATCAATCTACAGACTTAAACATGATTTATATATTCAAATGTAGTTTCTGCAAATGCCTACAATAGAGGGCGACGTCACAAACCAACTGCAGATGTTTACATAGGAAAAACAAGTATTAGAGTGTGTGTCTAAGGAATCTTAATCACACAGCCATGAGGAAAAACACATCTATGCCCGGAAGAGCTGCATTTGTATTGCCTGTGTAAATACAGCCATAAAAACAAACACAGTTGAGTTTTCTGACTACCTGCCTGTGTTGCATCGTTTGTTATGTTTACATGCTATTACCATACCTTGTCTCATGTACATGTTCCTTTGGTATATGTTGTTGCAGATGATGGCTCTACATTAAGGATGGTATTGCTTAAAGCATCTCTACGAAGCAAAGCAGTGAGAATATTAAGCAGTAAAAGTATAGTAGTATACATTGAATGACATTCCTTCACACATGGATTTACCATATTGTAACCTAACCAGTAATAGGGTCGGTCACTATTATTGATAGAATAAGATCCTTTTTGTTGGTAAAATGCTTCAACATATTGATTTAATTAACTAGTAACAGTGAAGAGTCCCATGTTTCTTAACCCACCATAATGCAAGTGAAGCAATGAAAGCAATATGTTCAAAAGTTATTATTTAGTAATGTTCGTTCTTCTTTCTAATTGCAGGAAAGGACATGGCCTCAGAATGCAGTTTTTCTTAAAGACATCCGCTCCAGGGAACTGGTTTCGGATGGTGTTTTAGAGTGTAAAATATGATCTAGCACCATTTGAAATCGGTGTTCTTGAGAGGGAACCGACTCCAGGAAGGACGACAGTGACCACTTCATTCACAAGTTGCATCACTAGGATTTCATTATGGTGGCATTGTTTTCACTCAATATTTTACAAACCATTTTCAGATGTGTTATGCCATCAGTCAAGACAATCCGTTTATACGATTATGTGGCCACTGGATAAGTCCTTTATTAGCTTTCGCTCCAATAACCAGAAGAAAAAAGGGATGTTTGAGTCTAAATCTCCTGAGCAGCTGAGTCTGCCCCTCTTACCAAGGCTGACCGTTTTCGTCTGGTGTTCAGAGTTTCCATCATGTCTAGCACCATTTGAAATCGGTTACAATGTAGAGGGACTATCAACAAAGCTTGGCTCCAGCAGTTGCATGATGAATTCCCTAAAAGTACCAGAAGATGGCAGTAATGAGCTACGATCCAAGGCATGTGTTTTTTTTTTTTAAATGACAGAAGCAGTGAAGGTTTTACCAGATAACCCTGATCCCTGTTCCATTGAGTTCCTTTTTGTTAGTCTGTTGCACTTTTAAATAATTCAGTTTCCTCTATAATCATGTTGCTGTCACTCAGCCGTGCTGCGTGCGAGTTCCAGATACAGTTATCTTGTCCTGTATACGTTTCCTCCAGGAACAGATGGAAGCTGGTAACAAAGAAAAGATATGGTTAAATGCTTCAGTAGTTCAGAAGTTGTGAGCCGTTTTCACAGCTGTCAAGTTCTGATATTCCCTTCATACATTTACATCTAGAACTAGTGCACATTATTTGTTAAATTAACATTTGTTGGCCACATTTCCTTACTTACTGTTTCATTCATAAATAAAAAAGTGGTCAAAGTTGTACAGTGTTTTATTTACCTCATTAAATGAGGCCGTTTTGGCTGACTATGTAATACAAATGTAGCTAATAAACTATGTTTTATATGATTCATGTTTAAGTTTGAGTTTATTTTTGTATTATTTTAATGTAAGCACCAATGTCATCTTCTCTTCGACAGCAACTCCTTTAGGTTTTTATTAAACCATTTCCAATTATAAACTAGAACCCTAGGTCACAGAGGCAATTATTTTGAGTTTTGGCACTTTATTAGTTATGTAATCTTTAAATACATGCCTGCTTTTACCCATATGGTTAAGGTTAAAAGGCAGGTTGATTGACAAATCAATTATGAATGTACATTTAGTTGCAAGTTTATTTGGTGAATTTAGCTTAAACTAATGCATTCCTGAAATGTATTTTCCCTTCATGTATATTCTAATTTATTTTTAGTGTACATTTTTTAGATAGTTATTGATTCAACCATCATTTTGGAGTGTGTGGTGCTGTTGAATTGTAAAGCAATGGAATTGCTCTGCCCATTCATATCAACAATGGTAGGTCAAATAACAGAAAAACAGCCAAAATACTATTACAGTTGATATTCACAGCATTTTGCATCTCTGTTGTAATAAATATCAGATATGCCATCATGTTTAGCATAATGTGATACTGTACTATGTACAAGTAGTTAGCTTAAGGAATTCTTAATGTCTACATAAAATGAGTAACCATAACATAATATGCAACCACAGAATCACACAATTTCAGATGAGGAACATTTTCTATTTATCGGCTGATATGGACCTAATTTCTGTAGAGTATCAAAAGAAACTGAAAAGTCACCTTACACTTTCTCTTTTGACATTTTCTCTAACTAGAGAGAAACAGTGCCCAAAAAAAAAGGTTAACTGCAAGTAGCCGTCCACTGCAGCTCGAATGACTCCCCACGTTCTACTGACCTTCTCAAAAAGAGTGACAAGTGTTGGGGAGCTAAATAGAAAAGTCTTAAAATAAAAAAATTCTAGACTTGGCCAGGGTAAAAACCTTCACCCCCATCATGTCTTTATTTTGATCTCTGGTGTCTGCAAGAAGCCAACCTGGCGAATGGGTAATGATTTATTCTTAGGAGAGTCAGTTGCTATATCAACAATAAACAAGAACATCCATGTCCATTTCCTTTGTAACAAATGTGAGTCATACGGCGTGTCTCAAGTTAGCATGACATCAGCAGTGGCATCCCTTCATGATCCACCCAGCTCTGCTTCCACACGCCCTGTCTGCTTCACTGTAATTTGGTAAGTGTGACTGTGTCCATGGTTGCGTAAAGCACGTTCTGTATTTTCCCTTGACCTCAGCTGATGTGGGAGGAGGAACAACGATTAAAATGATAGATTGGTTATAGTAAAAACTGCTGATTTAAAGTGAGATTGTGTGAGTTATGAAAGAAAAAATAGCATGCTTATGAGTTGTATTCATGTGAATTCAAATGTATGCTGATACAGCCCTAATTGTATGACCACCAGCGCTTACGGTGGCTAATGTCAGCTAACTTTACATGGCTATCAGATCACTAACCTAACTGCTATAAAGGTTGGGGTAGAGTTGATTAAAACCAGATTGTGTCAGTAAATAAAAAAAGGGAGGTGTTATTGTATATGGGCATTCCTGGAAGGCATACATAGTGTTGCACACGTTTGTAGTTACATAGAGTGACATAAATGGTTGGAAACATTATTAAGTGGGTGTGAATATCAGATTTTCCAAAGTAAAGGAAAATGTTAGAAACAGCTTTTCGTAATTCCCAAATGATGGTGTTTCAGATGCTGTGCAACCATCTGGCAAGTAGTTCTATTGAAGTCTACAGTATTAGCCCTTTTATGTTAGGGAGGACATCTTCCTTTTCATATTTGTATTTTGTGCCTCTACTGTGACATGTTTCCATGCTTTAATGTTCAAAAAGCTCTCTATTTTTCTCACTACCTGTGCTGCAGCACCTATTTTCACCCTCTGTCTGAAACCAGAGGCCAGTCTGCTCTGATTGGTTATCTGACCAGATCAGTTGTAATTGGTCAACCACCTAGAACCTAGCCCCTTATCTTATCACTTTCAATGTGTAGCGCTAACCAATAGAAGCCCAAGTGTTACATAGTGATGTCATTGTGTAACATCATTAAACAAAGGAGTCCAATCGAGGGGTTTCAGTCAAGGGTGGTAGAGAAACTCCTTTAAATGTGTTGTTTTCTGTCATTTGTTTTTATAGATGAAGAGGTCACTGTTGAGCAAAGGTTACACTACATTTGGACTGCGAAATTCAGAACCGCCCTACTTCAGCTCAACACTTACATTTGTGTTGCTGCTTGCAGTTATTGTAAGCAACATGTCTACATATTAAGCGTTAGTAAAGGTTCTGTGAAGGGCCCGCATAGCTGATGTTCATAGACATGTTTACATGTATTTACTAGCAGGCTGCTCATGACAATACTTATAATCCATATTGTTGAAGATGCTTACAATAAGAACAGCTGTATTGAAAGCATGTAAACATTTACATTAACATGACTGCCACACTGATGGTACGTTTAACATCTGTTTCTGGTCTAACCCTGAGGCTTCAGTGGGAACCATTTATGTCTTGTTGGTCTTCATTTTAAAGATCTCCATCTACTCATGAGAACAAGGTTAAAGTGGAGCTTCAAGTATTTTACCAACAAGTGTTATTTCCTGTTTCATTCTCTTCCCGCCACTGTTAAGTCTGTTGTGCTATGACCATTCTCCTCATACTCACCAAATTATGACCATTCGCTAAAATTAGATAAACACGGAAAAAAATCGACATATACGCCACATTATTTAGGCTGCCAGGTTTATTTTGCAATGCCACAGAAAAGACGAGTTGGCCAGGCCTGCGTGTGGGTGAGGTGTTATTTCGTTTTCTTGTTTACCACATGTGTAAACTTGAATCACTTCCTGTGTGGTGAGATTCCCCTCTAGCCCAGAGGCTTTTTAGTGGGCGCGTCACAGGGATGCCAGGCAGGGGCGGACTGGCCATCTGTAGAATTCTTATTTTTATCTAATCTAAACTTAGTAGTTATAATTTTAATAAATAAATAAAAACACTTCGTTTAGTTTCGGTAATTATTCTGCCGGCCCGTCTCTCCCCCATTCTCTGAGTATTTTACAAAGAGTGAAACAGCGCCCCTCTAGATGTTATGGTGAAACAGTAGATTGCACTCTCTGTTGCGAGAGGAGGCAAGCTGAAATTGGCTTCCCTAGCAAGTGCAATTATGGAGGGTGGAGATTTGGAGTATTTCATCAAAAATAATTTTACTAAACTTCTGCTACAGCAGCAACTAAAAATTACATCTGATGACAGGCCAATGTCCAAACTGGAGCTGTGTACAGAGAGGAAAAAAGGAGCGAATCAGACGTAAAACTTTAAATAATAAACAGCGGATTTCTAACATTTGACATTTCATGTGGCCGGACTGGGTCAGTTTCCACGGCTGAATTTTAGTCCCAGTCCGCCCCTGATGCCAGGGGTTGGTTCTCACGTTGGGTTGCCACGCGTCCCGTATTAGCCGGGACGCCCCGTATTTGAGCCAAAAGGGGTGTGTCCCGTACGGGACTTTGTTTGTCCCGGACTCCCGTGTAAAGGGAAAAATAAAAAATATGTTTCTGTTTGCGCGCAATGCAGTGTGTCTGGCTGCGTGCCTGTGTGTTTGTGTTAGTGATGTGTCGGTCGCGAACGAGCCGGCTCAAAGAGCCGGCTCTTTTAAGTGAACGACGGGCTTGAAGGCACATTATGCAATGTGCACATTATCCCGCTTATTACATGGCCACATTCTCAACAAAGTAACGACATGACTCCCAATATTAATTGAAATGCTTTTATGGGTTTAGAAAATGATTTTATTGATTTAAAAAATAGTTTTATGTATTGATTTAAATTGACATGCATCCGCTAAGAAAAGTAGTCCGTTGTTACTGTTTGAACTAACGTAGCAACGGCAGGAACTGCTTCGATAGTGTTTTTGAGGAGCTTTTTGATTACAGATTTGAAAACATCGTTGCTTGCTTTAAAAGTAGCACGATTCATTATGTCAAACCTTGGAAAGTATCTAGATATCCCTGCCCTAATGCCAAAGTAACTGGCAACTGAATATGTGTCGCCGTTTGATGTCTATGTCTGGACCGCTGCGTAAAAAGGAGGGTTTCTGCCCCGTTACTTCTCTTCTTACTTCTATAAGAATAAAACACGGAGGACGGAGATCTCTTTTTCTCCCCCTCGTCTGACAGCCCAGCAGCTGATCTCAGAGCACGCTCCCCTCTCCTGCAGTGGGGCGTGGTCAGCTGCAGCTCACAGAATCAGCCCCCTGCAAAAACAGCGCTGGAAAGAGCAAATAGAGGGATGGCTAAAATGCAGGATCTTTTTGGTATTTGGAAAAAAAAACTATATTTATATACTTTATATAGGTCGATACAGTAGCCCCTTTTTTTAAATAGTTGTTATAGGTGTTGCTATCTGTTTTGTGTAGCGTGATTCTACAAGCAAGTCAATGCATTCATTGGGTGGTATCAGAGATTTACACGTGTCTGTAAATGCAATGAAAACAATTGGCCACAGCAAATAATTTATATTAAACATGTAATTTTTACTTTTGAATACTTCAGTACAAAGGTTGTATTGAATAATGTAAGTGATATATGTGTACACATATAATTAGTCAAAACAGGGCGACATTTGATTTAATTAAAAGGTATAATATGTGGTAAACTGAAGAGCCGTTTGGGAGCAGAAAGAGCCGGCTCTTCTTGGTGAGCCGAGCCAAATGATCCGGCTCACCAAGAAGAGCCGGAATTCCCATCACTAGTGCTAAGAGAAGGGCGCTAGGACCGCTCAGTTGACAGAGCAGGCACAATGCTCGCACGTGTGTGTGAGAGAGTCAGTCAGCTGATTGATGGGGAAATGCTGGGGAAATGGTTGGTTGAAGGATAACATTAAGTCTAATAATGATGTACCGTGCATGTTCACATCATGTATACTTTGCATTACTTAATACCATTTTTCAAATATTTTATTTTTTAACATTTTGGACAAAATAGCCAA